CTCCGACCCCCCAGGTGCCATGGGCGGGGTCTCGGAAGGAGAAGGCCCTGCTGCGGGACCTCCTCGGCAGCCACAGGTGTGGCAGACGGTTCCTTCCACAGGTGGGGTGGGCCAGGCAGCAGCTCTCCCTCGGTCACTGGATTGGTTTGAGTGTATGATTCCATTTGTAGTGGATTGGCATGATTAACGCTTGGGGGCAGGGGGATTAAGTTAAGGACTAACATAAGGAGCGGAGTAGCTTATTCGGTTGGATTCTGAACCACAATCAGGAAATAGTCTTTATCTGGTGCAACCATAATTTCATTTTTCTTGGAAGGAATTTGCAGGAAGGTGAGGTCATTCTGGGGGTCGATTTCTCGCACAGTGCTCCTTGCCTTCAAGATGAAGCTGTGCATGAGGTTGGCGTGCTGTGCGGTGGTGGGGTTGTCCATGGTGCTTTTGATGGGAATGCCTTCCGTGGTCACCACGATGATCCCCTGCACACCCTTCTGGCTCTGCAGTTGCTTCAGGGTTTCTTCCACATCTGCCATCTCGAAGTGATCCTGCAGCTCCGCCAGCACTCCGGTATTTCTAACTTTTTAAAGAGGCACCATGCCATTTCTTAGAGGGATTCTACCATTACATAATCCCACTAGCAGGGTGTGTGAATTTCAAGTTCCTCACACCTTCGTTGGCTTTTCTGTTTTTAAATTTAAACCATTGCTATTACTGATGGATACAATATTTCGTTGTTGGGTTGACCTGCCTCTCAGTAGTGCTGATAGTTGTGAGGGTCTCTTATGAGGACCTGTTGGTCGGTGGAGGTTCATATCCTGAGTCAGATATATTCTTGCCAACAGTTTTCTGCCTCTGCAGCTTCTCCTTTTACTCTTTTGGAGTAGTTTTTCTTTAATATTCGTAAGTTTGATTTAAGAAGTGCCTGTTTTCTAGTTTATCTTTTGCTATTTGTGGAGTTTTCATTATTGTGATCATAGATTGATGCCTGTATTAAAGTCCCTAAGTTTGCTCCGATTTCCCCCCCACAATCTTGATCATTTTAGGTTTTACACTTAGATCTTTGGTTCATCTTGAGATAGTTGCAGTATATGACATGAGATAGGGAACCTGTTTAATTTTTCTGCAAATGAATATCTGGTTTTGTCAGCACTGTTTGTTAAAGAGACTTTCTGTCCCACATTTAATGGATTTCAGCCCTTTGTTGAAGATCGGCTATCCATACAATTCAAACTTACTGCCATCCAGTCAATGCTGACTCATACAGACCCTATAGGGTAGGGTAGACCTGTGGGTGTCCCTGTGGGTGTCCAATACTGTAACTCTTTATGGAATACACCCAGTGGGTGTCCAATACTGTAACTCTTTATGGAAGTAGAAAGCACCATCTGTCTGCCATGGAACAGCTGGTGGTTTCAAATTGCTGACCTTGCAGATTGCAACCCAGTGTGTAACCACCACATCATAAGACTCCAACTTTCCATAGGCGGATGGATTTATTTTAATTCTGTCCTATGGGTCTTTGTGTGTTTCATTGTACCTGTAATAGATTGTTTCAACCATGATAACTGCAGTATAAATTGACATCAGGAAGTGTGAGGCCTCTTACTTTGTTTTTCTTTAGTAATGTTTTGTTTGTCTCTTTCATTTCTATATAAGCTT